CGGACTGATGAGCAGTATATACGCCCTTTGGTCGATAGTTTTGAAAAAGCATCGACAGTGAAGTAATTTGGGAACTGCTTTAACCCTATGGAGTGTCCCGAACCTTTATCAACCTTATTCAACAGCTATGCGATGATGTCATATGTCAAGTGACTCACAACGCAAGAACGCATGAACATTGGCAACGAACCAACCAACCAAAAACAATAACGTTCAACAAATGTGTGCCTTAAGGTTTGCGGTAGCCCTTGCAATTAGGAAGATTAAACCAGCACTTAACTGTTCACAAACAATTCGTCACTATATTAAACTTTCGTTGGTAAATTTCGTCTTGAAAACCAAAATTAAATTTACTTACTCTTTCTCTTCCTCTCCACCCTTTTCTTCTGGTTTATTGATCTTGATTGTTATTTTGACCTTTAACAACAAAGCCACTTTACTTGACCTTTATTCAATTCTCTAACCCCTCACAACCCATTACTACACCTTTCCATTTAGACTTCCTATCACGAATACGTGTGTGCATGATTAGATTGTTAGAAAAATGTGTTGAGGAAGTGCTATATACGATTCATGTAATGAATACTTATTCGAAACTGACTAAGGAAAATTTATTCTAAAATCTTCGACTGTTAGTTTGTACAGATATGATTGGTTTGATTACGGATTGTTTCGTTCCAGTATGGGACTCATCAACGGCACACCGCCATGTCCTCACTGGGAATCGAAACCCTGACCTCTCCAGGTTATGAGACAAACTGGTTGACCATTTTAGTCTACAAGAATCTTGAAAAAAATTCATCGATAGCTGCACATGCATGGGACAAAAACCACAATATCGATTGGGACAATGTGTATATTCTAAAAACTAACATGAACAAATGGAAAGAAAGACTTATAACAGAATCGATATTCATTTAAGTTACACAGGATACATGTAACAAGGGTGACTCAGTACAACTATCAACAACTTGGAATATAATTCTGGATACAAAAACATGAATGAACTTGGAATACAACTCAAATACGAAAAAAAAAAAATGAATGAGCAAAAATAATGAACTATATATACGAGTACAAATCATAAATGTGTGAATCAAACAATTCCAACAGTGGTGAGAACACGGGCAGTAATATTGCTCGAAATATTACCAATAAAAAAACTTATCATTGTGTGTAAACTATTAAAATATAATTATACTTTATTTGAGTTCAGTGTTGGTTTAATCTTCCTAATCGCAAGGGCTACCGCAAACTTTAGGGCACACCCTCCTACCCTCCTCCCACCGTTCAATAAGTCATAGGTGTTTGTTCCTGACTATATTAGTTACCTACTGTCTATCATTTAAAGGAGAACAGGTAACACTATTCAATTCATATTGTAAATTACTGATTCATTCAGTAATATACATGAATTTAAACAACCCGATCAGGCAAGTCATTCGCAATTTCACTAAGCTACTTACTTACACTATGAAAGTGTGAAGTGGTAGTGCCCCTTGATTGGCAACTACTAATGAGTCATGGGTCACAACCCTCCATCTAATCTAATTCGAAATCGTCAGTGGAGGAAGAAAAACGATGGGTAACAACATCATATCATAAGTGATCATGCATACACTCTGTAAGGAGCTGGAAAATCTCTTTACTTCCCTATACAAAGAAATTGTTCATGGTGGAAGTGGTCTAGTGGACAATGCTTTGGTGTTTGAAACGATGAGTGCTGCGTTCGAGTCTCGGTAAGGACAGCATCACTCAGTAGGGACGTACTAATGGACTTAACCCTAACTCACTTCAGAGACTCAGGGATTGATTTGCTACCAGGGAATAATCTCGTTGACTTAGAATATGCGGACGATATAGTCCTTCTAGGCGAGGACGCTGACAAAATAGAACAGAGCCTTCTGAACACCTTGAGCAGCAATCTTCGTATGTTCGGCATGCGATTCGCCTCTGTAAAATGTAAGATGATGTTGCAGGATTGGACTACACAGACTCCTAGTTTAGAAATAGGGAGTGAAGTGGTAAGGCACGTTGACAATTCACTTACTTGGGAAGTACCATCACCCAGTGCCAACGGGTTGATCTCTGACGAAATATCACCACGAATACAGAGGGCTAGTTTCGCATATGCCAGTTTACGCCGTCTCTGGCTTAGTAGACGTGATATCCGACTGGCTATCGACCAAAGGGCGTGTGTACTGCTCATCAGTCTCCTCCGTCCTCCTTTATGACAGTGAGCAAGACCTGGCCATTCAGAGTGGAAGACATGAAAAGATTAGCTGTCTTTGATCAGAGTTGCCTGCGTTCTACCTCCCGTGTGAAATGGTTTAATAAGGTGAGCAATATTGAGGTTAGGCATTAGTCGAGTGCTAGGTAGGCGGGAGAGGAAACCAATCGACTAGACTGTGAAATTACATCGACTGTGATGGTTAGGACATGTGTCAAGCATGCATGCCTAGTCATCGCCTTCCTCGACAATGGGCAATGTTAGCTGACATAGGATGGGTCAGGCTGGAAAAGAGCTAGCCAGTGGTGGTCAAACGAAAACATGGCACCAGTCAATGAAATCCACAACAGTTAGTCTAAGCCAGCCAGCCACGTAGGAAGGTGTAGATTGGCTTCCTGACTGGTTGGGATCCTCGGGACGGTAAAAACCAATGGTTGGAAACAATCGGTGACATGGCTAGCTCAAAATCGTTGTCAATGGTTGGCGCAGATGCATCCACTCCTTGTGACTGACTTATGATTTCCAATGAAACTGTTTTGTTCTTCGTTATTACTATTTCATTGTCTCACTCCTCTTTTTACTGTCTCTAATATGCATTTCTCCTACTTTCTTCTCTTGCTTTGTGTGTCACATGGAGTGTGGCGACTTGACCTGCCGCACATATGTGCAAAGTTCTATGTCGAAAACAGAAAGACAGACAGGGATTGCAGAATGGTTCAGATGACAAGTCACAAATAGGACGAAATGAGCGTCTCATGAATTCTACTGCTAGTCATCATGCATCAAATAACCCCATGGAAATAAAACGAATCTTCAAATAAGAGAGTTCCAGAAATGATTTCATCTAGAGTTTTAAGAAACATGCAGACAGATCAACCAAGAGGAATCTATCAACAATATTTTCCTTCTACCTTCGAGTTCTTAAATAATAATAAGAGTACACTTACAATCAGCTGTGGAGTTTAAAATATTGAAAAAAAAATTTCAACGCAGTAACATATTTGTTGCTTCAATAAATGACCTGATACGACTTAGGATGGGTAAACTCCGATCCTTCTCTCGAATTGCTCTCCTGCTGCCACGTGTTCACATATCCTCTGTGCCAGGTAAGTTCCACTCCCTAACTTTATGTGGTGAGGGTAGCGCTTATATAACTAGACTGGTGGACATGAAGATCCAACTAAGAGAGACACGCATACAAGACCCGAGTGTGGTCATTCACTTGATCTCACCTGGTCAACAAGGTGAATCTGCAAAATTCACTTTAAGGGTGTCAGGAGACCCCTCAGCTAGCTCGCGAGGATTCGCAGGTGTAGGGGTCGCACTGAGTGTTAGGGCGGAAAAATCACTTCTTGACTGGATCCCAGTAGATAGTCGTATGTGTGCGGTCCGTCTGAACGGGTCCGTTAAAAGAAGGAAAGACGGCGCTACCCGTCGATGCCTTTTTGTAGTCTCCGCTTATGCCTCAACAGACTGCAGTTCGGATGAATTAAAAGATGACTTCTACCTGAAACTGTTTAATTTGCTGCAAAAAGTTCAGACATAGTTGTTTTAGCAGGCGACTTCAATGCCCGAGTAGGGAAGTTGTGCCAGACTGAGAAGTATGTAGGTGGTACGTATGGATTTCCCTGCCAACGAACCAACAACGGCGATCGTCTTCTTCAGTTTTGCTCAGATAATAATCTGTTCCTAGTCAGCACTAACTTTAGGCACAAAGAAAGACATTGTGTAACCTGGCGACCTCCATCATCAAATCAACGCTGGACTCAGATAGACCACATAGCCATAGGGTATCCTTGGCGAGGGTCAGTAGAAGACTGTCGCTACTTCTGGAACACGTGCGTAGACTCTGATCACGCTCTGGTTTGCGCACGTTTATGCTTACGACTAAATGGACATAAGAAATTGACGGCAGCGAAACAGTTACGTCCCCCACTAGATCGAGACACTGAGTCCTTATTTAAGGAAGAAATAGCGAAACGAGTTTCTGAGGTCGACAGCAGGAGTTCCCCTGAGGTAGCCTGGCACAACACACAGTTAGCTGTAGACAGAGCTGTGAAAGCTGTTAATAAGCTAAAACCTAAAGTTAGTAAAAGCCATTGGATCTCTACCACCTCATCCGAACTGATTGACTCAAGAAGACTGATTCCAGCGAGCTCCGATTATGATGAGGAGCGAAAGGTACTTAAACGAAAACTAACAAAAAGTCTCCGCAACAACCAGGAACAGTGGTGGGTGACGAAAGCGAAAAAGATGGAAAAGGCATCGGCGATTGGCAACACCAGACAACTATTCAGGATTATCAGGGAAACAGGTGGTAAAAGACAAATGATAAGTGAAACAATCTCAGAGAAAAATGGCACCATAATTAGCTCCCAGGATAGACGACTGGAGCGCTGGAAAGAACACTATGAGGAGCAGTTTAGTTCGCCTACAGCCACACTCAACTTACCGAACATCCAACACCCTGAATGGGATATAGGCACCGTCCCTAACTGAGGTTACTAAGGTTGTCACTAGTCTGAAACGAGGCAAAGCTGAGGGATCTGATGGAATGACTCCAGAGGTGTTTAGTTACGGTGGAGACAGTTTACTGTCTGCATTAACTGAGGTTCTAGGCAGCGTCTGGGAATCAGAGGAAGTCCCATCGGGTTGGTGTAGGGAAGTGGTTCCCTAAAACTCGCCCAAATGTAAAAGACGAAACAAATGTTATCGAAGAAAGGAAGAGTGCTATACACACATACACAAAAATAACCCACATTACGCTTACCTCAGTCTCCTTGTTGTGATCATGTTGTAGAATTGACAATAAATTCATTGAAATTAAACGATACCATTCAACGCAAGCGTTCTGCTCTGATACCTGTTCTTTCATCCTATCCTCACCACATGTAGAAGACGACTGACTACTCATATCCAAATCAATAGCATCATTTGAATTAACAATTATTATTTGTTCTTGCATATTTGTTGTTGTAATACTACTACTATCCGGTTGATTTTCAGTAGTCTGTGAATTGACAACACCAGTTGACTTAGTCATCATACAGGCATCATGATCATGTGCAGGTGAAGCAGAAGCTGCTATAGCAGGATACTGATGTCCAGCTAATTTTTGCATCACAGTTATGTAAGCCTCGGCTAATTCAGTTGATTGTTCCGTCCAACCACCAATTAAATAGCCTATATAACGATAATAATGCTGGCGTTTACTATAGGATTTTGCGCCTACTAAGCCATCATCATGCATGCCTACAGATAAATTTGTGGTTGTCGAGGATATCTCTGTGTCATCATCACCGATCATCAGGCATGAAGTGAAAGAATTCGATGATTGATGATAGCCTGCTAAATCACAGGATTTGAACATATTGACTAGATTACTATTATTATTACTAGGAGTATTACTGCTACTTTCAGTTGATTTCATCACTCGGGAATCATCCTTCAATACGTGATTATTTGTCCTATTTGAACATTGTAATGGTTTTAACAATACACACTGAAAAACAAAAAAACGCGAAAGAGGATTTTTTTTTAAGAAAAGAGAAGAAAAACAACCATATATATATATATATATATAATATTGAATAATTGAAGAGAGATTTTCAAGTGTTGGTTTGTAGGGATTTGATTGGTCACAGGATTTCATCATGAGCTGACATCAGTTAGAGAAACATTGGAAAACCTGGGAGTACTGGACAGCTGTTCCCGTCGTCCTAGTTTGGGACTCTTCAGCAGTACGCACCCACCGGGATTCGAACCCAGGACCTTCTGCTTACAAGGCTAGCGATCTCGTAGACCATTAAGCCGCTGGGACCCGATCCAATGGCCAGTCCATGAATTCTAACTTCTGCTAATTCACGACATAGCGCGACCCCTAGCCAATGTCTTCGGCGAGTATTTGTCCTCACGCCCGACCTGCTGCACCCTACTGGTCACGACTTCTCACTAGAACCCCAGGTGACTACCCCCCTGAACAGGGCAAGTCGCTAGTGAGCATCTCATTGCTTTTCAAGTGTTGGTATGTAGGGATTTGATTGGTTACAGCATTTCATCATGAGCTGACATCAGTTAGAGAAGAGAGAGAGATTTTCTTTTTCATTGATTTTGGGATCCCATGTGTGGAACGGAATCCTTCGAAGTGAGGACAGGAGTAAGACAAGGCTGGCTGGCTGCCTACTGTCGCCAATGATTTTCCTGATTGCAGTAGATTGGATAATGCCACAGACACACAGTGGGGGGCAATGAGGAAATAGGCATAAAATGGACTCACACAAAAAAAGACTTGGAGGATCTGGACTTCGCCGATAACATATATATGTCTGATTTCCCACAAACACTGGGAGATATGCAAGCGAAAAGCAACAAGTTGGCAGAAGAAGCATCCAGAGAAGATAGGACTTCCTTCAGGTGAACACTGAGAAAACAGAGGCGATGAACAATCCTGGACAAGAACAACAACAACAGACAACGATCAGCCAGCATTAATGGAAGGAACCTGAAAGAAACAACCTCCCTTACCTACCTACCTACCTGGGAAGCATCGTTTCAACTACAGGCTCACAGAAATGACGAGGATATCAAAGCAGCGAGGATCGGAAAAGCAAGACAAGCTTTCACTACTCTCAAGTCTGTGTGCAGGAGGTCAACAGCCCTACTCAGTCAGCATCAAAACGAAGATAACATCCGGATTTTCAACTCCAATGTGAAGTCAGTCAGTGCTACTCACTATACGGATGGATCAGAGACTTGCACTGCGCGTCATAAAGAGCATCTCAAACAAACTACACACCTTCATCAACAGCTAGTTGTCTTCGCTCAATACCAATACCACTGAAGATCAGATGGCCGGCCGGCCGGCCAGAAGAGATCAGCAACAGAGAGGGATCTCTGGCAATGAGCGAACCAACCAACTCAGCAGTAACCGATTGTGAAACAAATAGGCAGGCAGGAAGAAATCGAGATGGAATGGATTGGCTGGCCATACTCTGAGGAAACAAACCATCAAGTGAGTGACATCACTGGACAAGCCATTGCTCGAGTGGAACCCGATTGTATTGGAAGCGGCGAGTTGGTCGTCAGTGTTAGGGTGGGTGACTTGGAGGAGGTGATGTGAAGAGGAGATGAAAACGTGTGGGCAGATTTGGAGCCAGGTGAAGACTGTAGCAGAGAACCGAACGCAATGGAGACGCACATCTGAAGCCCTATGTTCCTCTAGGAATTAAAGGAAACAATAATAATAATGTGCAGCAGAAGGCTTTCAGTTTTAAACTTTGAGGTTTCAATAAACGGCGGTGTTGTTGTTTCTATCAGGGGGGGATAGGGTTGCTAGTCTCATGCCTCACCAAACATCTTTTTCGAGCTTACAATCAGTCAGTAAACTAGGTAAGATTTACAGCTGTATAGGTCAGAAATTGAACCAGAATCACGTGCGTGATTGGCGAGAAATCTACCACTGAACCATCTAGAATGACCCTAAGATAAACGACCCAAAGGCGGGGAATATACACTGTGATATTATAAGTACAAAGAAGTCAGAAGTTGTTCAGCATACAACAAAAATATTCAATTTTAATAAAAGATCCATATTTTGATTGGACACTAACTAGTCAGTGACTAGTGTAATGTGTCTAGTCCCTTGTTTGGTACAGAATGAATACCACTCAAGTTTGCAACGTGGCCACCATACCACTATAGTTGGCTCGCCATCACAGTGCACTTTGAATTGTTGATACCAGATGGCTGGAGGCAATCGCGAGCCCGAATAGCTCATCCATCGGTAATTTCTGGGTGACTGCAGTAATCACTGGGTGACGCGGGTTCAAATATCAGACTGGACATGAATGAGTTCCTTCAAAGTTGCAGATACACCTTGCTGACTGACTAGTGAGTGCCAACAAGTCCGAAACCAAAGTCGAACAAGACTTTCTGCCGGTTGGTTGCCTCCAATCATTTAATATCAACAAAAGATACACTTATTATTATTATTGTTTCCTTTAATTCCTAGAGGAACATAGGGCTTCAGCCGTGCGTCTCCATTACGTTCGGTTCTCTTCTACAGTCTTCACCTGGCTCCAAGTCTCCACACACGTTTCCATCTCCTCTTCACATCACCTCCTCCAGGTCACTCACCCTCCCACTGACGACCAACTCGCCGCTTCCCATTCATTCGGGTCCCACTCGAGTGACGGCTTGTCTAGTGATGTCACTCACTTGATGGTTTGTTTCCTCAGAGTATGGCCAGCCAATCCATTCCATCTCGATTTCTTCCTGCCTGCCTATTTGTTTCACAATCGGTTACTGCTGAGTTGGTTGGTTCGCTCATTGCCAGAGATCCCTCTCTGTTGCTGATCTCTTCTGGCCGGCCGGCCGGCCATCTGATCTTCAGTGGTATTGGTATTGAGCGAAGACAACTAGCTGTTGATGAAGGTGTGTAGTTTGTTTGAGATACTCTTTATGACGCGCAGTGCAAGTCTCTGATCCATCCGTATAGTGAGTAGCACTGACTGACTTCACATTGGAGTTGAAAATCCGGATGTTATCTTCGTTTTGATGCTGACTGAGTAGGGCTGTTGACCTCCTGCACACAGACTTGAGAGTAGTGAAAGCTTGTCTTGCTTCTCCGATCCTCGCTGCTTTGATATCCTCGTCAGTTCCGTTCGCCTGTAGTTGAAACGATGCTTCCCAGGTAGGTAGGTAGGTAAGGGAGGTTGTTTCTTTCAGGTTCCTTCCATTAATGCTGGCTGATCGTTGTCTGTTGTTCTTGTTCTTGTCCAAGAATCTTCATCAACAAAAGATACACTTACCTTTTAAGTAATATAAACAATTCGCGAAGCAAAAAATTCTAGAAATTGGGAATGTTAGATGACTGAAAGCTATATAAGAAGTATTCAGAATCTTTCCCCTAACTTTCTTTACTACTATTAGGTGAAGCTACGTCATCCATCACCAATAGTTCTTATAGTTTGAATAGATTACTTTATTAATATGATTGACGAAATCTTCGTCACTCCTCAACATCAACAACAAAATTCGGATTTTCAATACGAAAGCTATTCACAATAAGGAAAGATATTAATGAAGCAAAAGAAAAATTGAAAAGGAAAAGTATGAAAGCACACTAGAAGTTGCACAAAAACGAAAAGAAACTACCTATGAAAAAACAAAGAAGAAACAAGTAAAAAAGATTTCATAAACTCATGATAGCGAAAACTCCGAATGACAAACAAGTAACTAAAGCCAACTGGATTGTAAACTTGTCAGACAGAAAGCTAACAGAAGCAGAGGAAAGCGTACTGATGAAAGGGATGGACTTCAATATTAGCAACAAAAGATTAAAACCTGAATAAACTTCCTATTCACAATGCTACGCGAAAACAACTACCCAAAAGAATTTATGAAAGATAATATAAAAAAGAGAAAAAAGAGGGTAAAACCGGAGAATAACAAGATAGAAGAATGCAAAAAAACAGTCACAATACCATATAAAAATGGTACATCAGAGGCAATTCAAAGAAACCTCAAAAATATCGGCATTCACACAACGTTCAAATCTAATCAAAAATAAAATAAATCAACTGAAAGATCCCATAAAAATGATGGATAAAAACAACTTGATTTACAAAATATCTCGTGCTGACTGTCCGACTAAATATGTGGGGCAAACGTCCAGATCACTCAAAATAGGAGTGAATGAACATAAACGCCTAACCAAAGGTCAACCAACAGGAACACAAGCCTACAAAAATCTTGAAAAAAATTCATCGATAGCTGCACATGCATGGGACAAAAACCACAATATCGATTGGAACAATGTGTGTATTCTAAAAACTAACATGAACAAATGGAAAGAAAGATTTATAACAGAATCGATATTCATTAAAGTCACACCGGATACATGTAACAAGGGTGACTCAGTACAAATATCAACAACTTGGAATATAATTCTGGATACAAAAACATGAATGAACGTGGAATAGAACTCAAATACAAAAAAAAATGAATGAGAAAAAAATAATGAACTATATATATGAGTACAAATCATAAATGTGTGAATCAAACAATTCCAACAGTGGTGTGAACACGGGCAGTAATTTTGCTCGAAATATTACCAATAACAAAACTTATCATTGTGTGTAAACTATTGAAATATAAAACAGTTAGTCCCTTTTATAAATTTTGATAGCATTATTAGAAGACGGAGAAATTAATTATACTTTATTTGGTCAAGTCAGTTCTTCTATACGGATGGATCAGAAACTTGGCCAGTAGTGGGTCACAAAGAATGAGTATTTCCAACAGCCTGTTGCACACCTTTATCAACAACTAACTAACTGTCTTCGCTGGCTCTATACTCAAGATCAGATGGCCGCCGGAAAGAACAAGAACCAACAAGAAACAAACTATGGGAAGAAACAAACAAAACAAGAAGCAATCACCCAACAAACAATATGCACGAGAAAGTGGAGATGGATTGGACACTCACTCGCTGAGGAGGCCACTCGCTGGGTAACATCGCGCGTCAGGCCAACGCTCGAGTGGAACGAGAAAGGGAATCGGCGGCGAGTGGGACTTCAGTGCAACGGTGACATGGAGATCATGTGGAGTGGAGTTGAAACAGTATGGAATAACATGGATGCAAGTGAAAAGTACAGCAGAAGACAGAAGCAAGTGGAGATGTGTAGTTGAAGCCCTATGTTCCACTAAGAACCCAAGGGAACAATAACAATAGTGCTTTATTAATGTGATTGACGAGCACAGCTATTATATGTATATACAAGACTAAAATAAATGAGGAAGATTAGTAGATGATTTTTATGTGGTTGCGTTCTCTCAGTTGGATGATTTAACTATGAAGCTTCAACTGTGTCCTTTTTCTAGACAACATCTTCAGTGAAAACTTTAATATGAAGCCAATTCATATGGATTCTCCATGAATGTGATATCTAAGTAAATTACCTAAGCTCAGAGAAGGTAGCCACCCATATCAAAATACAAGACTGAGGAGTTGTCATTGCATTTGTACGTCACTTGGCTGAAGTGAACTCCATTCAACATATATATAACCACTGTCTTTTAGTAGTAGTAGGTTTATTGTGGGAAATGCATTTTTATATTCACTACAGCATGTTTTATACCTCCCCCACCCCCTCCGCCATAGCACTACGTTGATAGTTATTGTTAAAATTGCCATTTGAGCAGATTATGAGTCAAAGAAATGATTGGATGATGTGTGCGTCGGTGGCACAGTGGTTAGGACTCTCGCCGACCATGCACATGGTCCCGGGTTCGACCCCCTGCCGGCGCATACCCGATATCTATGGTCGGCCTGTAAAATTTGGGCTACCGATATCCATGCTGGAAATTCCATACCTGTACCTAAAATACTGTGTGGCGTCAAGCTGTAATCAAAATAAAAAATAAAATAAAAAAAAACACCGTACAGGGTAAATGTGGTACATTTTGAAAGTAGGAAACTTAGGTGTAACCCCTGTGATTCAAGTGATTTACGCATACTGAGACGGATTTTCGTCTCTCATGTTATCAACTGAGAGTGATTTGAAAAGAGAATCTTGTCATTTCAAATGCAGATTTCATTACGAAACAGCTACACCAATTAGAGATTGTTGGGAACCGTCAAGTAGCACTGGACACCTGTCCTGTCACAGCTTGAGACACTCTCTTCAGAAGTGAGCATCCACAGCCGCTCCACAGGGGAGTCAACGGACACAACCTTCAGATTATTAGACCAAGGTCGTTGACCATTTAACCAATTGGACTAGTTGCTTTATAAAGAATGGTATCGGATCCTGATGAAATAAATGTACACTTATGGAATTTAAAAAGAATAGACTTTTGAATACGGTAAACGGGTTGAAGTCCACAAGTGAGAGACACTTTTCACAGATGCATTATCAAAACTGAGATTCATTAGAAATGTACAAGTTGTTTCCTATGTAGCACAATAAGTATAAATGCATTATCATTACTGTTCCCTTGGGTTCCTAGTGGAACATAGGGCTCTAACTGCACATCTCCACTTGCTTCTGTCTTCTGCTGTACTTTTCACTTGCATCCATGTTATTCCATACTGTTTCAATTCCTCTTCACACGATCTCCTACATGTCACCCTTCCACTGACGTCCCACTCGCCGCCGATTCCCTTTCTCGTTCCACTCGAGCGTTGGCCTGACGCGCGATGTCACCCAGCGAGTGGCCTCCTCAGCGAGTGAGTGTCCAATCCATCTCCACTTTCTCGTGCATATTGTTTGTTGGGTGATTGCTTCTTGTTTTGTTTGTTTCTTCCCATAGTTTGTTTCTTGTTGGTTCTTGTTCTTTCCGGCGGCCATCTGATCTTGAGTATAAAGCCAGCGAAGACAGTTAGTTAGTTGTTGATAAAGGTGTGCAACAGGCTGTTGGAAATACTCATTCTTTGTGACTCGCCGCTAAGTTTCTGATCCATCCGTATAGAAGAACTAACTGACTGACTTGACTGACTTGACGTTTGTATTGAAAATCGGAATTTTGTTGTTGATGCCGGCTGAGTTGAGTGACAGCGGAAGATTTCCAGATTGGTTTCAGGTTGATGAATGTGTTTCTCGCCTTCCTGATTCTCGATTTGACGTCCTCATCCGTTCCTCCTGTAGTTGAGACAATGCTCCTCCCTAGATAAGTGAATGAAGTAACCTCTTTCAAATCCCTCCCGTTGATGGTGATTGGCGCTGGATGTTGCTGTTGCTGTTGTTGGTTGGTTGGTTATTTTCATAACCTCCGTCTTGTCTATGTTCACCTGGAGTCCTGTCTTCTTTGGCTGCTTCTTCAACCGACGAGTTTGTCGGTTTTCGCTTGTAGGTCTTCGATTTTGTGTGACATCAAACATAAATCATCCACGCGCGAAATCCAGGTTTTCTAGGTTCTTCACGTGGGTCCAGGATATCCCTGTCTTCTCGTTTGTATATATATATATATATATATATATATAATTTTAAATCGGTGCTTCTATATAGTTCAGAAACTTGGCGCGAAGGTCACAAAAGTATTTCCAACAAGCTAATGCAAGCTTTCATCTACAGTCGTCTCCTCTGGCCCCATACTGAGAATCAGATGGGCAGAAACGATACACAGCACAGAGTTCTGGCATGCAACGAACCAACCAGAAATCGATCAATCAAAAAACATTTTGAAGGGAATAGAAGTGGATCGGACACAGGCGATGAAGAGACCGCTGAGTGATATCACCACCCACCAGCCACTCCACTGGAACCTGAATAGGAAACAAGTTGGACATGGTTCCGAGGAGGAGATAGTGTGACGAGGAAATGATAGCATATGTGCAATTGGGCAGCCAGCCGAAAAAGACTGTAGAGAACAAAGTGAGGTGCTGATGTTCTGATGAAGCCGTAAGTTCCACTCGGAACCTCGCCTAGTTTACCAGCTCGCTGGTTTTCTAGCCGGACTCTCAAGCACGGGTAAAGAAAGTGTTCTATCTAACCTACTACATTAAGAAACTTAGACAATTTGGAATCCCCAGCCTCTACTTTCACAATTTGTCAACTCTTGTATCTTACCTATTCTACTTTACTGCTCCCCGTTAGTCTTTCCTGGGCTACTGAAAAAGGACTATACCATTCTGAGAAGGATGTTGAAGGTAGTCAGTAGGACTAGTGGTGTAAAACTCAGTCAGCTCATCACTACATTAGTTGAAAGGCATCTGAATACATGTGAAAAATAGTCTAAAACCATACTCTCAGACCCCCAACAACCCCTCTATTCCCAACTCTCGCCTTGTATCTCATCAAGTAGAACCAGAAATCAGTATAAAATAATCTATGCTCGTACAACCAAGTACAGGAACTCAACGATACCATATTTGGCCCGTGTTCTAAGTGACAGAGACAATGTTAAGCGCGAAACCTATGACTTGCTTTGTTGTTAATAATCATAATTTTAGGCTCTTTTATTTCTCTCTTATTTTGTATTCTATTGTGAACTCCTTCTTAAACATACTTAGCTACCTAAATTATTAACATTGGTTTACTTTTTTGTACTTTACTCTATTCCTTCTTTTGTGTATCTACTGGTTCCGACTATATTAGCACTATGAGTATTACAAAATTGTCCTGCCATTAACTATCATGTAATTATTAGCTTTTGTGGTTGTTTTTTCTTATTTTCTATACTTTTTGTCAATATTAACTGACAATCATTGGTTGTGAACGCCATTATCACCATCTTAAAATTTTGTATTATGCAGGATTACTCACACTAACACTACAAACACTGCATTAGACCTGACAATAAAAAAGCAAAACAACAACCCTGAAATGTTATTTTATGATTGTTTAGAGTTGTTTCAACCAAATTAACTGACCATCTTGGTGATAAACATTCTTAAAGATCATTTCATAACTTCTTGTATGACTATAGCTTTACTGTCACCATGCATAATCATATCATAGCTTCCACTACCCAATGCTGAGATATTATTATATGCTGTTTATTTTCCATTCTACTTCTTGTGTTTTTCCTGTTGTTTTTTTGCTGTTGGTGTTTTTATATTTACTTTTTTTTCAAATACTCCTTTTAAATGTTTGATAAAATTAGATGTAAATATTGTAGATATATGCTGAAAATTCCACACTGTACCACTAGTAGTGTTTCTGGAATAAAGTAAATTATTATTATTATTATTATTATTATTATTATTATCATTGTTATTATTATTAAAGAAGCGGGGGTTAGGCGTGCGGCTAGCGACCCTACACCACAAAACCAATCAAACTGCTACAGAAATTCGGAACGTAAGGGAATAAAAATTTTGCATATAGATGAATAACCCATTATTATTATTATTATTATTATTAATCAGACACAACTAACCTTTGTTATTTCATTGGCTAAATCTAAAAGAATAGGCAACAAACATTCTTGTTGATGAGCTGTAGTAGTTGTTGTTGTTGTTGATTGTGAATCTGATGACGCCAATTGATTTGTTTCACTTTCCGTATTCATTTGTATTTGCCTATTATGAATACCATCGTTGGATTGTGTATTTGCATTTTGTTTAGCCAACCTTAGTGTACTCAAAAGTGTTCTTGGAGCACAAAGATCAATTAATGGGATCAATGATTTTAAAGCTGTGGCTAGAATACGCGGTGCATTGATAGCATTAGCGCATATTGTTTCTGGAATTATATTATAAGCTTGAAAGATAACAAAAAAAAGAAGTCAAAACAGGAAATGAGGGATTCGTTTACATTTAATTTAGCAAACAAGAAAAGATTATTTAAAAATTTTTTTAAAAATAGCTGAATATTTTTGCAATTTAAGTTTTATGTGGACTGGGGATATCATCTAGGCGATACCGGATACAATGGTTTTCATATCTGTACTTCTTCTTCTTCTCGATTCTGAGTGGAAAGCAAGACTTCAGCAACACATAGTTATTTCACTCCGTTCTCTGAAGGACTTTATTTTACCTGACTTCATGATTACCAAAAGACATGAAACTGGTTTGGATATACCATTTATAGCTCAAAGGTAACTGCTTCAGTTGAGTAAATCACGTGGAGTGTGTAGAAGCCTACCAGTATACAACTGTCAACAAATCTATCACATAACCAACCATATTGGGCAACAGTAAAGAATAGACACCAAAAAAAGTCAAATGACCTTGAATCAACCAATAAGATGACTCGGCATTACATATAGATGCTGTTCATAATTGTTGCTGCAAGCTTCACCCAGATGTTTTAATACTAATTATAATAGAACGACCAGTCAGTCCTCCTAGTCACTAACTATTCATACATTCGTGTGGAAAGAATATTCACAACTATCATCATTAGACTGTATTCATCATAACTATCATCATCATCATCATACAACTTCACCTATTTGAGAAGTTGTATCAGCACCAACGGATTGACTGACGACGAAATCTCAGCACGGATCCGAAGAGCTCGAGCTGCTTTCGCTAACTTACACCATCTCTGGCGTAGGCGTGACATCCGACTATCAACTAAGGGACGTGTGCTCTGCTCAGCTGTACTGCTCGCTCCGTCCTTCTCTAGGGCTCTGAAACATGGCCAATACGAGTTGAAGACATCAATAGGTTAACTGTTTTTGATCATAGATATCTACGATCTCTTTATCACGTTAGGTGGTATAATAAGGTAAGTAATGTTGACGTCAGGCGTAGAGAGTTGGGCAAAGAGGGAAAATCAATCGAAGAGAAGAGGCTATCAAGTTACATGGATTGAAATGGCTAGGTGACGTGCTGCACATGCCTAACCATCGCCTCCCCCATCCCGACGGGCAGGTTGGAAAAGAGTAAGTGAAGTGGTGGCCATACAAAAACATGGCATCAATCAATCCATGAAATCCTTTGGCAGTTAAACTGAGTCAGGTAGGGAGATGCAGACTTCCGGTTTGGGGCCCGCCCTCAGGACTGTAAGAATCAATGGCTGGAGACAGACAATAGGTGACAAGGCTCAAAATCGTTGTCAATGGCTTACGCACATGTATTCAGTCTCTGTAATATTCAGTCTCATATTCCTTTCTACCATTACTCATTGTGTTTCACTCTTCTTGTCTTGTCTACCTTTGTGTGGTATTTGGAACGTGGCAACTTGAACTGCTGCTTCTATGTTGAATCCAGACAGACAGATATGCCAATATGCCATTAGGCGTAAAACAACTGGCGACATAAGCTTATCTCGCAAAATGATAAGACCATTATTATTATTATTATATGACAACGCATATAAATACTCTAGATATACACCTAAACATGAAAATGATTGTTAGTTTGAACCACTTCATTCGTTAATGCACACATTTATTCAAACTTTTCATAGTTTACATTACCATATAGTGTGAAACAACTAAGGAAAAAAGGAGAAAATAAAACCCCAACAACAACAAATGGACAGAGACAATAATAGTGAATATAGACAGAGTAAACACAGTATGGTGACAGGGTGGTAAACATTAAATCACGCATTTAACCGTCAATCAGTTAGTCAACACACAATATATCTACTACCTAATTATACAAGAAAGATTAAGAATTAGACTAAATATATATCAAGTGTCACCATATCTGTTGTGAATGGAGATATCCGTAAATTACTGACAGTCACATTCACTTTTGATTTGATACTAGTAACTAGTGTGATGCGTCTAGTCCTCTCTTTGGTGCAGACTGAATTCTATCAGTCAGGTTGTAATGTGGCCACCATTCTAGGTAGCTCGACATCACGGTGTACATTGTTTGTGATGATATTAGATGGTTGGAGAACTAGACGCATCACACTAGTTACTAGTGTCAAATCAAAATATCCACTACCGTCCTACAGGAGGTCAATCGCGAGCCCGAATAGCTCAGTGGTAACGTCTCTGACTGCCTTACTCACTGGGTAACGCGGGTTCGAATCTGAGAAGGGACATGAGTTCCTTCAAGGTTGCAGATACGCCTTGCTGACGAGTGCCAACTAGCACGAAACGTAGGTCGAGCAAGGCTCCCTGCCGATTGCCTCCAACCATCTAATAGTCACATTCACTTACTGAGTGACTGACTGAATTTCAGTATAGAATTTTGCATAAAAGTGTAGCGCTTCACAACTTACCAAATTCAATATACCACACAAAGATGGGGAAAAAGGAGAGAGAAATTCAGAAGAACCATAATGGAGAGAAAGAATAATAAACATGGGAAAAAACAGCATGAGGAGTTAGTTCATGGATCTGTGAGATTACAAGGAGTGGGATGCATCTGTATCATTTGGCAACGGTTTCGAGACATATATCATCACTACCAACAGTCTCCAGTAATCCTGTTCTTAACATCTAAAGGAACCTAAACCAACTAAGCAGTTTACACCTTCCTTTATGTGGGGTGGCTTAAATCAACAGTCTAAAACTTCATGGATTCATGCCAGGTTTATGGGGTATCACCATCCCTAATTCTTTTCTAATCCAATCATACGCCAACAAACATTGCTAACAGTGGAAGGCGACGGCTTGGCGCTCGTAACATGCATCTTATCTATCTCAGTTGATGTAACTTCACTGCATCGATTGACTTCATTTCCATACCTAGCACTATATTACTCTTCGTATTATACCACTTAACATGGGAGACAGGACTCGAACACAAGTCTTTTCATACCTTCTAATTCCAAGGGCCATTTTTATCACAGCCATAAAGTAGGACGTAACGACCTACTAAGTAATACACACACGTCCTTTGTTTGATAGCCGGATATCCCATCTACACCAGAGACGACGTGAGGTGTCAAATGCCACACGAGCGCCTTTTGTGTATCCGAACTGAGAATTCGTCAGCAATCAATCACATTTAGGGTTGATGCAACTACACCCAAATAAGTAAACTAGTCAACCACTTTCATTACTTACTATTCTTAAACTAGAAGTCGGTTGAGATCAGTCTTGCAGTATCTATCACCTTACATCTCTCACGCAAGGAGAACCGAACCACATGCCAAACACTCCAAGATTTGTGGTCAGTGTTCAGCAAAAACTCAGCATATTTTGTCAGCGTCTTCATGTAAAAGGAAAATATCATCCACCAACTCTAAATCGATGAGACTCTACCACACCCTAGTAACAAGCTAATCATTGAGTCACCAAAATCAGTTTCAAAAATAGGTCGGTAAGCTCCTCTTCAAATTCGGATAAACATTAAACAATCACTTTAATTTGTTCTTTATTCTCTTCCAAATGAGACAGAGAGGGAAAGACAGATGGATAACTTCAACGGCACATGTCAAGTGATCCAAAACGGAAAACTCAGCGAAGCGTTTGGAGTAAACAAAGGAGTCAGATAAGGCTGCTAGCCTATTATCACCAATGACATTCCTAATTGTGGTGGACTGGACTGGATTATGCGTCAGACAATGGGAAACGAGAAGACAGGGATACCCTGGACCGACGTGAAGAACCTAGAAGACCTGGATTTAGCGTGTGGATGATTTATGTTTGATGTCACACCAAATCGAAGACTTACAAGCGAAAACCGACAAACTGGTCGAAGAAGCAGCCAGAGAAGACAGGACTGACTCCAGGTGAACATAGACAAGACGGAGGTTATGAAAATAACCAACCAACCAACAACAACAACAACAACAACAGTAGCAGCAGCAATATCGAACCGCAATCACCATCAACGGGAGGGATTTGATGAAGGAGGTTACTTCATTCACTTATCTACGGAGCATTGTCTCAACTACAGGCAGGTGGAACGGACGAGGATGTCAAATCGACAATCGAGAAGGCGAGAAACACATTCATCAACCTCAAACCAATCTGGAAATCTTCCGCTGTCACTCAACACAGCCAGCATCAACAACAAAATTCGGATTTTCAATACAAACGTCAAGTCAGTTAAGTCAGTCACTTCTTTTATACGGATGGATCAGAAACTTACCGGCGGGTCACAAAGAATGAGTATTTCCAACAGCCTATTGCACACCTTTATCAACAACTAACTGACTGTCTTCGCTGGCTCTATACTCAAGATCAGATGGCCGCCGGAAAGAACAAGAATCACCAACAAGAAACAAACAAACTATGGGAAGAAACAAACGAAACAAGATCCAATCGCCCAACAAATATGCAGGAGAAAGTGGACATGGATGGATTGGACACTCACTCGCTGAGGAGGCCACTCTCTGGGTGACATCGCGTGTCAGGCCATTGCTCGAGTGGGACGCAAAAGGGAAGCGGCGAGCGGGACATCACTGCAAGGGTGACATGGAGGAGATCGTGTGAAGAGGAGTTGAAACAGTATGGACTAACATGGATACAGGTGAATAGTACAGCAGGAGACAGAAACAAATGGAGATGTGCAGTTGAAGCCCTATGTTCCACTAGGAACCCAAGGGAATAATAATAATACAGCTGAAACTGTCACGCGAGGGCTAATGATACTACTGCTATTAACTGCCTCCACTTAACCTTGGTTGATGGAGAGCGCGATTTGAACCTGTGACCTAGTGGTGTTGGAAGTGGAAGTCAAGAGACTAGACTTGCAACGCACACCTTAACGCGTGTGTGAAATAACCACATATCACAGAATTCAAATCCAGAAGTTACCAAAAAACATTAAATCGAATTTCAGCTATCATATTTCATAACTGTATTACTGTACAGTACTGTACTAGTATACCCACACTTAAAA